AATTACCAACTCGCACAGCTTGCCGTTCTGATTGCGAGTGGAGCGCAATCTGCTCTTGAAGGTGAAGCTCCCCCAAATTTTTGTACATATTATGGTCCACAGATGTTCTCGGTTAATATCACTTATTTTTGTACTGAATGCCCAGAAACACGGATGGTCACTGTTGTGTGCAGTTTCGTTATTGATTTGTGTTCTTCCTCCATCATAGAGCCCATCAGCTGTTCTATATAAATGAGTTGTGCAAGTTCGATAAACTGGCCTTTAGAAAGTTGGGGAATAGGACTCCCTTTTTCTTGGCAGTAATTGGGACACACAAAAAAAAACCGCATTGGCAACACACAGTGTTGCCAACAAAGAGGGTTGGCGCATGCACTTCCTTCTGCTTCAATCACTAGGACTTCATTCTTGTAAACAGCATGAAAGTTGTTTGGTGGGTTTCTGCCAATGATGTGGGGAAGTAGCTTACTCGTGACTCTGTAAAGAGACGTCTTGTGACAAGTATAGTGAAAGCTTTTTTTGTGTATTAAAATCGTTTTGCTTTTTTTTAGTAAGAAAATGTGGTTAAAAAATCTCAGAATGAAGGTGGTTAATCACAGCTGCACTCCTGTGAAAGCATTACGTTGAGCGAAGTGAGGAGGGCTACTGGCATTGCTTCTCACGTTGCTGGTGGAGGGAGTTTTTTAGTGGCTTCTTCAATAGAAAAGTTCTGCTCAAAAAATATTCAATCATTTTTAAAGTAACCACTGCAGTTTCATTGAACATTTAGGGGGTCTTATTGTGAGATATTAGGTCAAGAAAAACTCCTGTGCCTGCTGGCTGTCCTATAAGGATTTGCAGACAGCAAGGAGTCTTTGTGACTTTTCTGGCTGCCACTTACAGGAGTGGGTTGAGGAAGGCAAGATTATCATATGCTAATACAGTCATAAGGTGAAGAATGATCTGTCTCAGTACATGTGGAACGTAAGCAGCAAGCATGTGAAGCATGGCCGTACAGAAGAGAGTAAGGACATAGGCTTGAAACCAAGCTTAGTGAGGCCAGTTCTAGTTGTGCAGTGCTCGACGTAATCAAGAAGCTGCTGTCAATAACCAGACAGGTGAATGAATGGGGGCCGATGTGGTTCAGTGCGAAAGCACTCGAGGCAAGGGAGGCACTGGTGTTGTATTGTCCTTGACGTGGTGCATGTACTCCAGCGCTTCCTGGAGGAGAGCTCCCGCCTCAAGCTGGTCAACAAGAGTGACTATGCAGTGGGTGTGCGGGCCATGTTAGGCGACCGCTCCTCAGAGCCTATTTATCGTGCCGGACAAGGGCCTCTCAACCTGGTCACATACACCAGCAGAGAACGGTGAGTTCGTTTTTCAGATCGCCCACACAACTGTGCTGGATGTACGATAGCTCTAGACCTTTTTTTAATGCTCGAGCGCTCGGGGGAAAAGTGTGTACACCTGTGAGAGGTTTGTGTGGGCCCAGGTGCTAAACCTACATGGATGGATGGATCTATATGGCTGTACAATTTAGATCGGGCGGTAGCTAACACCACCAAGCCGTAATACTTAGTGAACCAAAAGCTATATTTATTTTTTTCTTTAAATAGTGAGGTTGAGGACTCGTACTTTGCAGTGAAGGGTTTAGTTTTTACTCGTGCCTTGACTTTAGCCACTAATCAGATAACCTCCTTCTTGTTAATTCTACCTGCTTAAAGTCTATTTTGTCCTCCTTGTCCCTAAACCCCAGTGCTTTGAAAACCTCTGCACCATCATTTTGAACTATAAGGTGAAGCCCTTTACAGAACATTATTAAGTGTTCGGCAGTTTCCTCTTCCTCTGCACACGCACTGAATACTGTGTCTACCCCTTCGTATTTGGCTCAATATGTCAGTTCGCAATACACCCGTTCTGACCTCAAACAGTCGAGAACTAGCCCGAGTATTATCATAGATCCTTTCCTTGGCAATTTCCTGCTTAAAAGTTCGATAGCTCTCTAGTGCGGACTTCTTAATCATGCGAATTCTCCACATATCGGTCTCAGCTTCTTTCACCTTCTTCTTAACCGATAATTCTTTTTGGTTTGGCTTCCTGCTGTATTCCAAGTATTTACCAGTAAATTTTCTGGTTCGCTTCCTCCATCTTGTATCGACACTCTTCATATACAAGTAGCTTAATACCTTCCTAGCCCAACACTCCTTCCCCAGTTTTCTCAATCGCTTCTCAAATTTTATCTTGCTGCTAGCTTGCCTGCCCTCAAATGATGTCCATCCCATATAACCTTGTACTCCCTGATTTGGTGTATTCCCATGAGCTCCTAAGGCAAGCCTACCTATTCCACGTTGCTTAATGTCTAATCTTGCTTGAACTTCTGATCTCATGCACAAGACCGCATTGCCGAACGTCAGACCAGGAACCATGACCCCTTTCTATATTCCTCTCACAACATCATACCTATTGTAGTTCCATTGTGCCCTGTTTTTCATCATCACTGCATTTTTGTTACCTTTAGTCGTCACGTATATTTCGTGTTCTCTTAGGTACTCAGCCCCATTGCTTATCCATACACCCTGACATTTTTATTTATCTGCTATCTTTAGCGTGACCTCCTGTATTCTAAGCTCACTTCCTTCATTATCATTAAAAATCATGACTGCTGATTTTTCCTTACTGAATCTGAAATCTAACCTATCTCCCTCAATACCGCAGATATCTATCAATATCTGTAAATCTTCCTTGTTGTCGGCCATTAGCACTATATCACCTGCGTACATCAATGCTGGTAGTGCCAGTTCAATGGGTTTTCCTTGTTTGACGAAAGAAAGGTTGAAGTCCAGTCCACTTCCCTTCAATTCAGCCTCTAATCCTTGTTGGTACATCATGAATAATAAGGGTGACAGGGGGCACCCCTGCCTAAGCCCCCGTTTTACCTCTGCAGGCTTGGATACCTGTTTTTCTCTCTTTATGACTGCCTTGTTACCTTTATAGATATCCTTTAAAAGATTAGTGACTCCATCTTCCACACCTAGTGTCTACAGTATTCCCCACAAGTCCTCTTGAACTATGCTATTGTACGCTCCCTTGATATCCAAAAATGCTAGCCACAGGGGCCTGTGTCCCTTTTCTGCTATTTCGATGTCAGTGAGAACAGATTGTATTACAACCTCCTGTGATTCAGAAACCCATCCTGCAGTTCCCCCAGCACCCTCTCATCTTCTATCTATTCCTGAAGTCTTTCCTTTATAATTTGCATCGCCAGCTTGTAGACCCCTGCTGTCAATGTTATAGGACGGTAGTTGCTTATGTCAGCTTTGTCCCCATTTCTTTTATGAATCATGCTTATCATGCTGAGTTTGCATCCATCGGGGACTTCACCATCGATTATTATTTTGCCCACTGCCTCTCTCAAAGTCTGTTTGGGCTTCGGACCCAATGTCGTTATCAGCATAATTGGAATGCCATCTGGGCCTGTTGATGTACTACTTGGAACCCTCTTCTGAGCCCTTTCCCACTCTCGTGAAAATGGAGCCATTGCGCCACTTGATTCATCCTTGTTTATTGTGGTGCATAAATCACTTGTTTGTTGAAATTTTTCTGTCACCCTTGTTCTTATATATTCAATAGCTTCATCCCCTACTAGCCTAGCACCTTGAGCGGTACTAGTTATAAACCTCTGCTCTAGGCTCGTCTTATTTCTTTGGGAGTTTAGATAGTTCCAAAATTTCGCAGCTGCCTTTCTATCTTTTTTTATGTATTTCTGCCAGCCACTGAGCTCCCTTTCTTCTAATCTTTTCATTGATCAGAAGAGATGCTTCCATTCTAGAACTTAGAAAGATGTCCCATTTTCTTTCAACATCATCTGTCGGTTCAGCCCGCTGCTTAGCATGTCTGTGTTCCCTAGAGGCTTCCTGACGTTTTGATATGGCTCTCTTAACTTCCTCATCCCACCAACTTTTGGGTTTGTGTCTTCTTTTCCGGGGTAACTTGTCACGTGCCTTAGCAAGCTCTAGCTCAAACAGTCTACTTAGATTCGTGTATGTCCACACTGTTTTATTATCCTCAGTGATTACTTTCTCAATTTGTTTAGTAGCTATTTCTATTTGCCTTACTGAATAAAAATTTTCCTTTAGTTGCTCATCTAGTCTCCTTCCCACTTTCCCTGCTCTTTCAAAACTTAGCTTGATACGTTTGTGATCACTACCGAGACTTCTGGAGCCACCTTCATCTATGTGCATTCCCCTGAGCTTATCATACATCCTATATGACATCAGTGCGTAATCTATCGTCCACTGCAGCCTTCCTACCTCCCATGTTATTTGCCCTTCACACTTCTCGGTATTGTTGCAAATTATTAAATCATGCCTTTCACATATATCCATGATCATTTCGCCTGTTGGGTCGGTATACCAATCTATATCTTCTATATGTGCATTCACATCTCCTAGTATAATTAACTTGCACTCTCCTCCTAACTCCTCAATGTCCTCCTAACTCCTCAAAGTAAAAAAAATTAAGGCCCCTGTATTTTTCAAAGGTAGCGCAAACTCCCTTCCCCACACCGTTTCCTCCTTGCCCGCCACTCTCAGCTGCCATGAAGGAGCGACTCACACGGAGCGCGCCGCCGGACGGTTTCGTTTTGTCGTGCGGCGCGTTGAAGTAAGGCCCCTAGGGGCCTTACGTTGAAGTGCTAAAGATATCATAAAATATTGAAACCCTCATTGCACACTTTTAAGTAAAAGAACCCTCGTTTTTAATCGCAGGTATACACATAAGGCACATACACATAAGGCAGTGTAAGTAGAGACTCTAGAGGTGACAACAGTTGTCATCGTAGTGGTATCAACTCACAAAATGAGCCGCCCACTGGTTGAGAGGTCATCCTTTGGGACGTTCCTGGCTGGTTCCAGGAGGCAGCTGTAAGCATGAATTGTAAATACAGAGGCTAGAGGTGTGAACATTTGCCATCACAGTGCAGTTAACTCACAAAATGGGCGGCCCACTGGTTCAGGGTCGCGGTGTATTGACGTTGCTGTGTTGTCCGAGGAGGCAGCTGTAAGCATGAATTGCGTAAGTACACAGTCTAAAGGCGCGAACATTTGTCATCACAGCGCAGTCAACTCACAAAATAAACTGCCCACTGGTTCAGCGTCCGGGGCCCTCCCCACTGACGTTTCTGGCTCATCCAAGGATACAGCTGTAAGCAAGAGTTGAGCAAATACAGTGTAGGGGTGGGGATGTTTGCTGCCACAGTAAGACAGAATTGGATGCCGAATTAATCAGGTTCACAGGTCATAAAGATAAATGCAGCAACTACGCTATCTGCCAGCGATCCAAACACACTGTATTGTCATATAAACCCCAAAACATAATCGCATTCACAACACAAGAGAGGAATAGAAACTACAAAGGAGCCTCACCAGGAACCGTTTCATTCCCCCTTTTGCGGGGTGGCTTGCGCTCTTTCGGAAGAGGCCGATGTGCAAATATAGAAGGAACCGCATTTGGCTTGAGTTTCTTGATCCCAGTTTGTGCCAGAATTGCTGGCTCATACTGATCCATCTTGAAGTGTTTCTGAAAAATACCGACATTCTCTATCGCATTTTTGCAGTTTGGCTGATGTGATATTGCCGAAGCAAAATATTTTGCTTCTTATGTTAAAAATGCAAACAGCCACAAAAGCCAGATGATTTTCTTGCATTTAGTAGGTGCCTTTTTCTTTGTTAATCGAAAGTGTACAACTTCGCAAGTATGTTCGAAATTTGAACGAAAGTATCTATGCATTTCACAAATAAACAACTATACAACATTATATTTACCATACACTCTCTTATATTAGCTGTACACGCATGCACAAAATTCGGTCATGGAAGTGCACAAAACTGAGATAAATATGAAAGAATACAAACTGAGAACACAATAAACCACAATAAAACAATAAATGCCAAAATTTTGCCTACAGGTAATCAAAGTTCGAGCGAAAAAAAAGGAAAAACGATCAAAGATGTGGTTGATCTCTGGAGAAGCATAATTGCTTCCGCTGCAAATGGTTCCATTTAGAAAGCAAATCGCGAACGCATTCAACAGTAATTATGTTGTGGCCGTATTCGAATATTCGAGCAAGCTAAAAACGATCGAGCTGTCATCGTGGTTGAAATCTTGCGAGAAAGCGTCGACGGAAACTTGAAGCTGCTTTTGTTTAACATGAACCTGAACCAAGGATGAGCTTTATCTGAAAGCCTTCCGGAGGCATGTCTTCGCGAAGAAGTTCTGTAGTGAGTGCTTACCTCGCAAAGCCTCCCTCGGTGACAATCGAAGTTTTTCCTGCCGATGCGATGCAGCCATACCGCTCTCCGCTCCTCATTATTTTTTCCTCGTGGAACCACAAAAAGCTTGTCGCCTTTTGCAATGCTGCTGGAGCAGCCAACGGCACAGCAGGTCGGCATTGCGCTGCATCCGAGGCCGCCTTGCTAAACGCAACACACGTGGGAGCGAGATGCAGTGCGTTCACTCATGGCGTCGCTGCCCGGCGGAGCCGAACCTGACGAGGGGTCAAAAGGTTCATTGGTCACGTGTGGCGCCTGTTCAATAGGGTAGCAGAAACGTGCGCCGGATTGAAGAGAGACGTAGAGGGCGGGGAGTAAATTCTCCTCCGCTTTTTGTACAACGGTTTGCGCTACCTTTAAAAAATACTGGGGCCTTAAAAAAAATAGGGCTGTAGCGCCCTCCTTTCCTGGCTCAGCGGCTTACTTATTCGCCGACTCGCTCGCAGGCCTCGACCGTGACCGCAAGCACTGTCATCGCCTGGCATAACTCGTTGTCCAAATTCGTTGGCAGTCCATCTGTGAAAGGTTGGGCACCGCTACGGGCCGGCAAAGTGCAACATATTGCTGTGTACTTATATCGTGAACTCATGTTTTGAGCCGTGACAGTATCTCTGTGATTTTCATTTTGTGTTGGACCAGCTGAGCGGCCCAGAAGCGTCGCCTCTTAATATTAATAATTTTGGTTGCAGTACACCTTACTATGTAAATTAAATAAAAAATAGATAACTTAGTTGCCAATGAAGTGCACGAACAGTCTATATTTCAAAGATGAATTTTTTTTTTGTGCAACAATACAAGATATGTCATCGGATTAGGCCTCTAGCATCATACAAGCATTCACTGCACAGCACAGTCACATGTGGGTGGTACATAATACACTCAATACTAGAACTTAGAAATAAACATTATAAATGACATTTAGGAAGTTATGGATGTGCGTAACAGAAAATTACGACTATAATTTATGACAAGATACATCATGAACAAAAAATAATACACAGAAACGATTGCATGAATAAGTTATTGACCCAACTTTGGTAATAGTACATGGTAGGCTAAAAATGAAGCGCTGAATAGAAAGACGTTCAAAGATTGCGATTATGACGCTTCACAAGCATTACGCTAAAGGAAAAGTTCTGGATTGCTTACTGAATGTAACCATTCTGTAACATGCAGTAACTTGTGACATTAAATCTTTGTGAGTATTTAGAAGCTCTGAAATTTGCCAATATAAAAACTGAAGTTCATAATTTCTCCTGGTTTTTGGCATGATGAATACACAATGTCTAATGTGTTATTTAGGAGAATTGTTGCTTTAAGTAGATATAAACTTTTCAGAATCGGCTGTGTATTGAGAATTAATGAGCTCGGAGAGTTCATGAACGTGCTTTGCACGAATACTGTGAATACGATTTACGAAGAAATAGAAGGTTGCATGTTCGCGCTATGATAAAAGTGAAGAGCTTTTCTTTTGTATAATGAGTAATGGATTGTAATTGTTTTGGAATGTAACCCCCAAATGAGTGTGCAGTAATAAAGGTGAGAATGTATCAAGAAAAAGTAAAGCTGTCGTTTAATGTGTGTAGGCAATAAGTTCTGATATTTATTTGACGTACCTGTTGTTTGAGAGATGTGTGCTACGTGCTTATTTCATCAATGACTTTCCTGAAATCGAACCCTCCAAAATTTCTATTGTGTAACACGCTCGACTTCTTCACACCTAAATGTTATGGCATCATCCGATATCACCGATTTATTAAATTGGTGTGAAATACCATCGAATTGGTTTCACTAATATTCAATTGTAGACAATAAATATGTATATAGCAAATCTGATAAGTTATGTAACAAGGAGTTTACTAATGGTACGAGTGTAGCCAAGTCAGCAGTAGAATAGAACACGCTCGTATTATCTGCATAAAGAACTATATCTATGGTGGATGGAATGGAAACTATGTCATTAATGTAAAGAAGAAACAATGTGGGGCCTAGACTGCTGACACTAACTCATGAAACTTCTTAAGTTTATCAGTGGCTATGACCCATTTAAGTGTTACAGTTGTAGACTGCCCAAGAGACTGAACCGACGATTTGGGCACTGTACAGTACAAAGCCAAATGATCACTGAGGTCGCAACTAATAACACCAGTTGTAGTAACAGTGCCATCTAACGTTGTTAAACGTAATCAATGAAAGATTCACTAGAGGGTGTAAAACAAGTGGATAGATCAATAACATTATTGAATCCATTTGAGTTTATATTATTGGAAAACTGTGTGTCAGAGCGGTTTGCGGAAGGTTTATATTAAAGTCATCAAAAATCATGACTGGTATTTCTGATGAGGCAAAATGATGTAGTGAACAAAAAACTGCTTCTCACTTGTCATCAGTTGTTTCTGGAGTCCCAAAGGGCTCTGAATTAGGTCCGTTACTTTTCATTATCCATTTAAACGATTTACAGTTTAAATTAGGCCCTATTGAATTGGTAAATGACCAGAAAATTCTCAATAAATACTTAACAGCTGTTAGTAATTGGTGTGCTGATTGGAACATAAGCCTCAACACAACAAAGTGCCGCCAAATTACAATAATGGGCGAAAAGTGTCCGTTGCAATATACTCATCAAATTAACAATGTTGAATTAGAGGTTGTTAACGAGTTCGAGTATTTGGGTGTAACCATGACATCAAACCTCACCTGGAACAAACACATACAAAACATTACATTATCAGCACTGCGCAGACTTTGGCTTCTAAGACAACAACTTCAGCACTGTACAAGCAAAATGAAAACTGTTGCGTACACTACACTGGTCCGCCCCTTGCTCGAGTATGCAGACGTTGTTTGGGACCCACACTCAAAGACAGATTCAGCGATGCTCGAACGGGTACAAAAGAAAGTGCTGCGATTTATTCACAACGCATACAGCAGGTGAGTATCCGTGACAGAACTGCGCAGGCGTTCTGATCTACCAACACTAGAATCCCGCCTTAAAATGCATCGTCTTAAAATATTACACAGCATAGTCAATGGTTATTCAAAGCTTGACTTCAATACTTATCTTAAATTCAACATGTCACGGCCCACCTGGAACAAGCACAACAAAACAATCCTAATGCCTTTCACGAGAACAAACGCTCACCGTCTATCCTTTTTCCCGAGAACGATAGCAGATTGGAACACTTTGCCACGTGACGTTACTAACTTAACTAATCAAAATGCTTTTTCAACGACTATTCAAAATTGTGTATGATTGGAAGTGCTGGTTTTGTTCCCCTGTTCTATTGAACTAACGTATTTCACGCGTTATCTTGCTACCATGCCACCAACGCACACTGCTTTTTTTTTTCTTTTTTCACGTTTCCTGGTCAATGCGCATTGTGCACTTTGTGTGTTTTGCATTAGACTAGCATTGGCGATTTTATTGTATATTCAAGTAGCTATTTGTAACAAGAAATACTACTGCTTTGTGAATCGTGGGCCATGCTACTGATTGCGCGTGCTTGTGTTTGTGTCGTGACAATCTGAAAGCTTACTGCATTATTGCTTTCCTGTGTACCACGGACCGTGTTACTGGTCGCGTGTAAACTTAGTGTTCAAAATCTGCACTGTACCACTCCTGCCCTGGCTGCCAAAAGGTGGCTGGTAGTATTGAATAAATAAATAAAAAATAAAAACACAGTATGTTATACTGATAGGAGACTACAATGCAAAAGAAGGGAAGAAACAGGCTGGAGACCAGGCGGTAAGAGATTATGGCATCGGTACTAGAAATGCCAGAGGGGAGCTACTAGTACAATTTGCAGAACGCAATAACTTACGGATTTCGATTACCTTCTACCAAAAACGAGGAAACCGCAAGTAGACATGGAGGAGCCCTAATGGCGAAAATAAAAACGAAATAAACTTTATAATGTGTGCACATCCAGGCATTTTGCAGGATGTGGAAGTGGTTGGCAAGGTACGATGCAGTGACCATAAATGGTATTGCCACATTCCATTTCCCAACTTTTCGTTATCGTCCCAAAACAAAACACCACACGATTCTCAGCGCAAACCGCGCCTGCAGTTTTCCAGAAGGTTCCGGACTGTAGTAGATCATTTCGATAAGATCACGCCCACTGTGCGAACGGTACAGATTGTTCTGGAACCTA